TTAAATTTGCACCGAGTTTTTATTTAAGTTTGCACCGAGTTTTTATTTAAGTTTGCACCGAGTTTTTATTTAAGTTTGCACCGAGTTTTTATTTAAGTTTGCACCGAGTTTATTTAAGTTTGCATGTCCCTTGTGGGCCATCGTATATTGAGCACTGTTTGTGTTTCGTAAACCAAAATCTTAAGCTATATATATATATATATATATATATATATATATATATATATATATATATATATATATATATATATATATATATATATATATATATATATATATATATTATCATTGAGTTAACAAATAATTAAGCTGCCTCTAAAAAATAAAAATAATATCCTGGCGGCGCGACTGCTCTTATTCAGGTACAAATAAACCGAAAGAAATTAATGTTTAATGGATACGAACTCTGTTTGAACTTTATTATTTGGGTATTATTTGTTTGTATGATCAGTATTGAAGTTTGCCGACTTCTGTTATTTTAATTGCATGCACAATTCATTGCATGATATATATTTCTAGAATAGTGGTTAATGAATATTTTCTTTTGATATATATGGAGTGACGGTTTCCGAAAAGAAGTTTAATTTGTTCGAGATACAATATTATGGAAACAATATATATACTAGCTGGTTTTAATTAATTATCTTTCTTGAAATGAAGCTTTGCGCGTGTATGCACTAACGGAAGTAAAATGCTCCTTATGCATGATATATAGGCCTATATATGTATACAATTTATGAATAGAGACTATACTGTTTATTGCTATCTTGCCTTAATGGCTTCGTTTTCGTGCACAATAGGGTTAAGAATATAGGCTTGTGATTGGGCTCAAGACCAAAGAGGAACATATTCGGGTATTTGAAACATGAGGTATGTATATAATAACCTTCACGCATGCTAAAGCAGGCAAACATGGAAATTATGTCATTGCCATTGGGGAAAAAGTGCAATAAAATTTATTATCAAGCTTTGTACCAATCAAATATTGGGTCACATGTGTATCCGGCTTGCAAATCCCATACAAATAAATCGATTCGTATATGAGAATAAAATTATTGTATAGACCCCCACCCACGGCACATGTATGCAGTCAAAGGGCCGTCACGTCGAAATTGTTCGAGAAGCCAAACTAACAACAACAATAGATATTAATTAAACCAGCCTCAGAATTTTTCCCACGCAGTATTACTGCAGTGTGCAGATGTTCAAAGTTAGTGTATTTTCATGCTATTTCATTTAACTATGAAAATCTGCATTTCTGTTGCGAAAGCAGAGAACTTTCTCTGAAGAACAAACCTACAATCTATCTCCTCTAATTGTTGTTATCCAAATTTTGAGCGCGCAATATGCTGTTAGTCGGAGCATGTTTTTGTTTATTTTTTTCAAAGTTGTCGGCTGGAAATGTATTTTTAAATTATTGATGAGCTATATAATTTTTAGGGTCTGCACATATTATCCCGCTTGCCGAGATGAAATGACAATTTAAAACGCTTGCAAAACTGGTACAAATCATTCAGGCGAATCATTTTAGCCATTTTGGTGTTTTTCTTATTTTTTTGACTGAAAAGGAATTGCCATAGCAAGATATATTTGATACATGTTTACAAAATATCTTGTATCACACTGCATTAGACCGCATTAACTTACATTAGACAAGTTTCATATGTCGTGCTTCTCATGTGCCAAACGATTATCTATTGTTTTTAATGCGTTCGGCGCATGAGAAGCACGACGTTTGGAACGGGCCTTAGACTGCATTAGACTCGTTTACCTATACAGTCTCTGCTTACACAGCCGTGATTTCGTCAAAGTGGCCATAGCCCGCTTCGTCACATGAATGCGATGTATCTTTTTATAGTAAAATTACTAAGAGGCAAGATCATATAGGCTAAGTATATAGATGTCCCCAGTCCCACTACAGTATAAGCGGGCTGATGTGAACTGGCCCTTATAGAAACTTCTAGCATATGCCATAATGAGGAGTTTATAATCTAAATAATATAATTACAGTGGATTATTGGAGTTTAATTTGTAGGATATATAGACAACTGGCGCTAGTTCAATTTATGATTTTATCAACACCGCTAATAGTTCATACGTAAATTAAAACGCGAAAACTTCCCTTTCTCTTTCACATTGTAGAATTTATCACGTCAGATACGAGCTACACTAAAAGCAAGGAGTTCTGAAAAGAAATTATGGCAAACGTTATTGTACATTTCCTTTTAGTGTTATTTATCCTCATTGTCGCACAATGTTCGAAGGATCTTGATCGTGTTTGCAATGCCTGCAGTCTGATAGTCTTCAACGTCGATCAGGGTTTGCAAGACAGATTTCTGGAGGATGATCGCGAGCTGAAGATGAAGATGGTTAGAAGCGACACAGAGTGCTTTGTAGAATGTTCGGTAGATTGTCGATGCATGTCGTTCAGTGTTTGTGGGAATTCGTGTCGCTTGAATGCCGGCAGTCGAAGTTTGGTGCGAAATTCATTACATCATAAACCAGGGTGTCGTTACTATGATTTTCCTGCTTTTAAGGTAGGTCTATGAAGTTATTTACTGATCGTAGCAGAATGCTGGATGAACATTGTTGACGATAAAATTGCGTCTATATATACGTACCGAGCTGGGCTCCCTATATAAGCGAGATCCCGCATCGACTAACCAAAGATCTTGCTAAAGCCGTGCCCGGAATTAGTGTCCATGTTAAGCAATGACCCGAGCTGACTCACCTATGCTAGCACTCTGGCTGAATATTAATGCTTCGTACCTTATTCTATAACTTTGTAAATTCTTTTCTAACTTAAAAAAGTCCCCAAGAGTTTTTGTGAGTATACCTCGACCTGCATGGTACTTCGTTTTGGGGTGCTTTACGGACAATTGACAAACACAAAACGCGACTAAGCAATCTGTATTAAATAGTACCGATTTCCAATCACCTTTCTTTAACCGTATAATCAAACCCTGGAATAGCGTGTGTATAAGGATGTTGATCCTGACACTTTCTCCAGTCTCACTACTTTTACAACCTTTCCTTAAGCGTAACTAATTTCATCTTATTCAGACGGTCTTGATGATGATTTGTCCTGTACGTGGTCCTTAGCACGCGACTGTCTTTGCCACGGACATATATAGTTGCCAGTTTGTATGTCTTATTTGTCTTTCTGCACACTTCCTATATCATATCCTTTCTCTTTCTTAATTCATTCTTCCATTTAAGAATTTTTAATATATACTAAAATGTGTATCAATTAAGTACATAAAATCTAAATTCTTGGCAGGTGCTTTGCATGCATGGGTCTTTTTTCATACCTTTCCTTTTTGGATCTTCGATTTATAAGTTATTATTTCTTATATAATATTATATTGTATATGCATTATTGATCCAAATAAATTTGTGAAAACAAGATTGAACTAACTGTATAAAATATTATACTGTATAGTTATAAAGGATTCAGACAGCTCGAGATTAAAAATAAAACCAAATTTCTCTCCGAAAACGCCGGAAATGGTCATTGGTAAACCCACAGCCAGTTCTCCTAACTGAAATGGCCAGATCTACATTCGTCTTATTATATAAATGTTGGAAAAAACTACAATCAGTGACATTGAAATTTGGGACACTTGTATAGAAAAGGTATTTTTGTACACAATTCTGCAAAATTCACTTATAACCCCCCTTCCCCCGTTTCAATGTTGCTCTATCGGGCAGAATAAGTATCGACAGCATTATACAAGACACTACTATGTAACTAGAAAATGAATGTAAGACCGACCAACATTGAAAAGGGGGAAGGGGGGGGGAATTTTCCCTTTTCAAGCTAATCGGTCCAATAATTGTGTCAATGATTGTAGTTTAACTTCATTTGTTTTTCTTTTAACAGAGCTCCTGCGACCCCTTACAAAGACCACCAGCTATTTGCTGTTTGCCCTCGTCTCCTCTTTGTTTCAATGGGGGTACGTGTGTCGTCAACGTCACGGACACCACGAGAAGATTCAAATGTAACTGCGCAACTGGTTACTATGGAAACCAATGCCAAGTCCAGAAACCAAGAACATGCCTGGACTATTGGAATGACAAAGTCAAACCGATATCTGGAGAGTATACCATAGTCAACTCAACTGGAACATCATACCAAGTCTTTTGCGATTTCGACTCCGAAACAGACATGGCGTGGACGCTTTTTGAGTCGTTTGATGTGGCGCATGAAACTGAGCTGAGCAAGAAGTCATTCGCTGAAGATCTTCCGTTGAATGAACATCGTCTAAACTGGCAACGTTTTCGCCTACCGAAATTTGTGATGACCTGCATCTCATCTTATTCGACATTTTGGCGCGCAACATGTTCGTATGCAAAGTATGGCGTAAATTTCAGAGATTACATCAGAATGCGATTATCCGTAATGAATCCGTTAAATTTTACTGGCTATTTCTCCTCAGAGAAGAACCTTTGTTTACCTGTGGATTATTTTGATATAAAGGGAAAGAATTGCGAGGGTTGTACGCAGTTGTTCTTTCAAAGCACCGGCATTGCTCTTCATCTTAAGCCAAGGACTAGCCGTATTATACGAAATTGTAGTTTTGACTCATCAAGCGTGGAGTATAAATGCAAAGATAAGAATGGATATTATGCGCACATTTTGGGATTTTATTTAGCGAATTGTGCGGATCCAGAAATGAGGTGCAGCGAAAATGCAAACTCTACAACCGAATTTTGGTTTGGAGCTGAAAGGAAGGTTTAGGACATATACAAAACAACACTCTGGTTAAAATTTCTTGATTAGCTTAGAACTTAGAAATAACATAATATTCCCGTTTAAAATTCCTCGTTATGTTATGTTATCTCACTTTCTACCATCCAGTTTTGACTAGGTCGACGGCCTTGTTAAAATGACCAGACTATGTTATAGGTGGATAAATAACCGGCCCTGCATGGTACACCATTATTATATGTATTAACCTTCGCATATATAGTCTCATGCATGCTCCGTGATATACGTAAGGCCCATTTCATACGCCGTATGCTGAAATTAGGTACGGCAAACGTTCGGCGTCTGAATCAAATTAGGTTCGGCGACTTAATTTGGTTCGGCAAAAGAAAGTCTACATGTCTTCAGTGCCGCATCAGTGCGACTTTGATGCAGCAACTTATTCAGACGGCGAACTCTACATGCATATATACAGAATTAAATGCACAACTAATAGGCACCTAATTACAAAAACCGACTACAGTTTTAACTTTTAACCCAACCCAAGCAAAATAAATTCACGTGTGAATTAGATACGCAGTAAGGATGACTGCCGTACTGTGTTCACACAAGTGCCATACTTTAAGGCAGTTTCAGCATTTAATTTATGCGCGCAGGGGGTGACGGGAAGTAAGGTATCATATTGCTGATTATGCTAAAAATTTCAATAAAAACTGCCGAAACAACCGAAATATATCAATATTTACAAGTATAAGCTATCACTCCGTGTTTACACTGCCGCCTTTTTTATTTTTTCAGCATTATCAGCAATATGATACCTTATCCCCCACCCCCCTAGCCCGCATAAACTAGAATTGCCAATTGAATTCGGCACCATAGATTCTTATATACACTAGATAGTGCATCTAATTATTCTGCAATTCAAAAATTGAAGCCGTGATTGCAGACTCAGGATATTCCCATGAAATGAGAAGTTCGTATGTTTTCTATTTCTTAAACAGGGAACTTAAACATTAAGTTTCTAAAACCTATTCCAAATACATTTTTAAACTATTCAAATGATGAAAGTTATTGTTGTTTTTAAGCGTTTATTAGCGAGTGGGAACTACCAACATGGCCGCCATCTATTGAAATGGGGGTAACCGCTGGAATATTCTTGGCTTCAATTTTACCTAAAAGAGATGCGCTACCTATAGTGTATATAAGATATCTATGTTCGGCACAGATGAAGAACGGCCTATGGAACGAGCTTAAGGTCCACTTGAAAGAAACTCCGAATAATTAGAAGTTATGTCCATCTTTAGACTTAACGTTTGAGAACTGAAGACAAGAGAAGAAAAAGATTTGACAAAACGCTCCGAATATAATAGTTTTTTTTTATTTCGGTTGCAAATATATCATCGAAATATCGATCACTGCATGTTAAGCCTTTAAATTGTCTGCTATTGTCTATCTCAAATCTTCTGTTTCAAGATGGAATTTTATTTGGAATTCGTTCCATACAAAATATAAGCACAGGATATGGATTTGAAGTTTGGAAAATATCCTAAGGGCTCGTATTTTTAGGTTTATTTTTGCGTCATACCGACGTCAGTAATCGCTTAACTGAGAAGACAAGATCAAAGACAAACACAATGGAACGGACATAAGCCGTTGCATAGCAATTAAGAAGGACTTAATTAGCTGAACATTATTGTGCCATGTCAGTCACGATCGATGCAGTGATGGAAATGTTTTATTTTATTTTCATTGTTTGAAAATCCTACTGTTTTCTAAGCCATCCAGCCATTCATTTCTTTTGAAATATTTGTCGCGTGTATGGAAAGGGCCTCTTCAATAATCTTGTCAAGATATGTTGGTCTGGAAGCCCGGTAAACTTCAAAGCTACAAAATAGAAGATCTTTGTTTGACGTTGAACTGTCTCTCACCGTGTACAAGTCCCTTGACTCTATATACCAGAATTATTTTATAAATTCATTTTTCCCTACGACAGTTAAGATATGGAATGAGCTCCCTCATCCCATAATTACATGCATCCAGTCTTACCAAATTCAAAAACCTCCTTCTTCGTCATTACAGAAATAAGCTATAGCTTTGTATTGTCCAGCGTAAACTACTCTTGTGTATTGTTTTCACAAGGTATTTTATATTTTTGTAGTATATAAAGGGGGAGGATTGTCAATTGGGACGTAGTCCTCACTCTGTCTTTGTGTCATCGTTAGTTTATGTGTTGCATGCAAGTCCTGTATTTATTTGTAATTTGTAATGTAATTGTAATGTGACATATTTCATTAAACTAAACTATAGTGATTATAATGCTATGCGTCCACACTACTGAATCCGTTGTCGTATTGTTCTCCGCTCACAAGGGAATAGAGAACAATTGTCTAAATTGCTTGAAACAATACAAAAACGCTGCGAAAACGATTTAGTGTGGGCACAAGTCTCAGCTATCCATACGAACAATTACTTCATTAAACTGCACAATTAACATAAACTCGGACAGAAACATAACACAATGACTTCCGTTATGTTACTACAGTATATAATGGCCTGTTCATCTTATCTTGATAATTAAACTATCAATGGCTTGAATCTTTTCCATGTATACTACTTGCTGACCGTCCCAAAATTATACAAATGTCGAAAACGAACATTTTTTTGCCATTCGCCCCATTCATTTTTTAACGAGTTCAAAGGTCGGTCATTTACTTAAGTTAAGTGGGTCATTGTAGATCGAAATTTCCATCTTATCTACGTTTATCCATAAACCAGCATGTTCCCCGTCTTCGACCTGGTGTGCAAATTACGACGCTATAAGGGCATGTTGTGGGTAAATTGCCAAAGCCAAAGGTTTCATTCACTGTGGAAAATTAATTTTAGATCATAAAAGTGGTTATAGCTATCAATAGTTTTTACATAGAATTGCGGCTAAGGGGTTCAAATCCACTGAGATCGGTTGTACACGTCACAGGCTTTGCTCTTACTTAGTTGGTATTTAAATAGTTTAAGGCCTGTTTTATACGTCGAATGTTGGTCGCATCGAATGCAATTATAGATAATGAGATGACAAACCTCATTAAGCTTCATTATCTATTGTTTCAATTTACAAAATTCGACCTATAAAACAGGCCTAAAAATACTATTTTCGACTGCCATGCAGTATAGAAATAAATGTTTTGAAAACATAAAAAAGGAACTGAAATATACTAGGAACTTTTTTCCTGCCTCCGACGTCCTGTTCGACCCTACAGACATCCGTTTCAACATCTTAGGCCACGGTCAAACGTCGAACTTTTCATGTGCCGAACCTAATGCAAATGAAGTGAAACAAAGAACTTATATATAATTAGCTCATTAACATTAGGTTTGGCACATGAAAAGTTCGACGTTTGACCCTGGCCTTTCGTGCATAAGTGCATGTCTATTACAATACCAATTTTCATTGCAATCGTGTGATTTACAAGCTTAATTTGCACAGTTCAACAGTCAGTAATTTAAATTCTTAAATATATGACGTAATTATCATGCATATAAACAGCTTTGGTATACAATTGTGCAAAAAATGAAAAGTCACCACCGACAGCTATCAATCGAACATATCAGTGTATACTCCGACGTGTCGAACATAAAGACTTTTAGTCACAGTTTTTAGTACAAAGTCGAAGCACAAGTTAGCGTAAGGTAAGTGGCTTTAGTATATTTGTTATTTAGTACGTGGCTTTAGTCTATTTGTTATGGCTGCACTTCTAAACAAAGCTCCCAAACAATACTAATTAAGCCCTCAGAAACCTGATTAATAAGTAAACTCGTGCTTTAATAGATTGAAAGGTATGCTGTAGCCCAGTCAACCTGAATGCTCATGTACTATGAAGTCGCGTAAATGAAACGGTTTCGACCCCCCAAAGTCAAACACAAAGCTTATTTCCAGGATTCACATTGTGCTTTCATTTCAAGCGTAAAGTCCCTTACTCAAAGCCACATGCTTCTTTAATCATGATTCGATTGTAAAAGCCCTGGCGACACTGATCAAATGGTTTGGGCCAAACGAGTCCAAACTTGTTGGTCCAACATGTTAGAAGATCGTATTAATAATAACGCACAATTGTCAAGTGCCATTCAGGCTTAATCGTCAAATGTGGCATATTAATGTTGGATGATCCAACTATTATCAACATAGACTATAGTGTTTTGCATGGGCCTTTACAACATACCTTTCAATCTTAGCACGACTTAATTAATCAGGTTTTGAGGCTTATTGTTTGACAGGGGATATGTTACATTTAAGAGCTTTGTTTACAAGTGCAGTCATAACAAATACAAAGCCACAAGTGCCTCCTCCCGCTACGCAGTTTCTTTGAGTATTGGTCCAGTGTTGTACTATAAGTAAGGAAGCGGAAGTACCAACAACAGCGGTCGAGGGACCACAAAACACACTAGAGAGTTTTAGTTTGACGTTTACTGCAAACGTCAAACCGCTAACGAAGTTTTTGATTTTACAAGTCTATTATAACAGCTTTTACACCAGTTTTTAAATATAAACAATTATTAAATTTGTGCTCTTTAGCAATGATTTAAAAGAAAGCAAATTAACCACTAGTCACGTATTCGCGAAAGCAGTAAATTATGATTTGGCGTTTGAAGTTTACGTTTGGCGTATGAATTTCATGCTTGAACTGCTATGAGGGCTTGTATAGTCGTTAAAGCATGAAATTTATACGCCAAACGTAAACTTCAAACGCCAAATCATAATTTACTGCTTTCGCGAATACGTGACTAGTGGTTAATTTGCTTTCTTTTAAATCATTGCTAAAGGGCACAAATTTAATAATTGTTTATATTTAAAAACTGGTGTAAAAGCTGTTATAATAGACTTGTAAAATCAAAAACTTCGTTAGCGGTTTGACGTTTGCCGTAAACGTCAATCTAAAACTCTCTACTGCTTTCCCGACGTCTCCTCAGTAAATATGTGCTTTGCTATATAGCATAGAAGTGATAAAACTGTCAAGTACTATTTAAAGCACGCGTAGGAGTGTTTTATCAGATATAAAACGCGAGGCGCAGCCGAGCGACTCATCTGAGAAGCTCATCGGCTTAAAAAACGACTCATGTTATATGAGTTCATTGGCGAAGTAATTTTTAAAATAAACTTTGTCTAAACCGAGAAAATCAAAGCTAAAGTTTATGTAAATTAACATGATTTTTTATCACATATAACGATACGACACGCTTATGATTTTTTTTGTGTTTTAATTAATGGTCTTTTAAAGTATGATCCAAACACTCATTAATAATTCATAAGTTTATTGGCAAATCATGTCAACCATAATATGTCACGTGCGCACACAGGGGGCCCCACTATGAGTTATGATTGAAATAATGTTGTATTAATTTTTAAAAACCTACTTGAATCCCTTGATAATCGATTATTTCTTCTCTCGAAGTTCTGTAAAACATGTCGAACTGCTTGGAGTCATTATACTATCACTCTACATGACGTTTCACGAAGTATAGATGATCGCTGACAAGTAAGAACGCGGGCGCGAAAAGACGAAGGCGGCGAAAGAAGGGAGAATTAAACTAAAGGTTGAAACTTCGGCGGGTCATCGTTTGATGTGTTCCATAAGCAGGTTGTTCTCCGGCAATTTCGCACGGGGCCCCAATGTGAGTTAGGATTGAAAAAATATTGTATTTTTTTTAAAAAATGTACTTGAACCCTTGATCATCCATTATTTCTTCTCTCGACGTTCTGTAAACCTTTTAAATGGCTCGGACTCATTATACTTGACGTCACGAGAACAACCTACTTATATGGAACACATTGTGCGAAAAAAACCCTTCGAGTGTTTCATGTAAAAACAAACGAAAAATCAATCGTTTATTGAATCTACTACGTACATCAGTTGTGAAGATATATCCAAAAAGACATAGAATCTGCAAAACATATTCGACAACACAAATAAATTGTGAATTTTAAGGCATTTAGAAATGTCATCTAGTCGCAGTTTCAACCCTTAAGTTTAATTCTCCCTTCTTTCGCCGCCTTCGTCTTTTCGCGCCCGCGTTCAGCGTTCTTACTTGTCAGCGATCATCGATACTTCGTGAAACGTCATGTAGAGTGATAGTATAATGACTCCAAGCAGTTTAAAATGTTTACAGAACTTCGAGGGAAGAATTAATCGATTATCAAGGGATTCAGGTAGGTTAGTTTAAAAATAAATACAATATTATTTCAATCATAACTCATAGTGGGCCCCCCCTGTGGTGCGCAGTGGCTTTAAACCTGATAAAACACTCCTAATTAGTATTCTTTATATAAAGAATACTAATAAGGCAGTATCTATTGTAGTCGTGTCTCATTAGTATTCTTTATATAAAGAAACTAATAAGGCGGTATATGTATTGAATTTGTAGTCGTGTTTAAACCTAATAAAGCACTCGTGCTCGTTTATTAAACAGTACATAATTCACCTGTTATTGAAGTGAACTTTGAAACCAAAACTGGATAAATGGAACGCCGTAAATGTTTAACAAAAAAGTTTAACGCGCATGTGCTCTTCCATTCAGGATTGCGTGATCCATGCACGAGAGATGTCGCTACTCGAACCGCAGGCGAGTGTATTTTTACGCTTTTCGAAAGTCGAGCAACATCCCAAGTGCATGGGTCACGCGATCCTACTTGGAAAACCATTTGGTAATTGTTTTATAAAATAACTACAGTGAAACAATGACATTTCGAGAATCCGGCGACGGCATTTTAATTCCTCGTGCAGAATTATAGCCTAATCCAGCACGGCTATTGACCAATCAAATTGCCTGTTCCACTGTAGTTATTATAAAATAAATGTTTTATCATGGACTCGTTGGCAGGACTTTTTGCGGATTTGCACGTGATACGCTTCGGAAAACAGAAAAATTGAACATTGACACTAACTATATAACAAAAATTATATTATTTTTAAGATTTCGAGGCTTGTTGTTTGGCAGGAGATCAGATCATTAAAGATCGGATGCTCATGTTTTATCTAGTACTTAGTAAAGTTCGAAGGTCTTGGAATTCTGATAACCATTTTGGTACATCCAAACCTCTGTTTACTTTAGTTGTTATTGCGTTCATCTGTTTATTCCAACTTAACGTCTCATCTAACATTAGACCCAATGACTTGTCCTTTTAACTCGTTTGATCATTGCACCACTTGCAAGCAAAAGTCTATGACCTCTGGCTCTGCGGAATGGGGAAAAATACTTTCTGGAAATTACCACCCATCCCACCCTGATATGCCCACCCTTCAACGATTTTGTACCACTTCATCATAACTCATATAAAAAAAACTATAGAGAATAATACATGCATGTTGCTGTGTTGCTGACCGGCACGTCTAGATTTTGTAATGTCCTGTATTGAAATTGACTTTGCAAATCTGATTGTAAAAAAAATTCTACTCGATATTTTCTATCTACAATTCCCTTCAACTACTTTTTATAAAGCCTAATTTTCTTTCTTACCGAAACTAATAGACCTTTGGTAATCCATCCAGACAGATGGATATGATTATACTCCACCGACGAAGACAGTCCTAAAATAGTTCTTAAGATATATCAGATATAATAGTTTGTGTCCTCCAGTTTCTTTTCCTCCACCTTACCAATTCCGACCAATAATGGACCACGATACTCCAAATGAGGTAAAATGTAAGCCTTGTATAAGCGAATCATCATATCTAGGGGGATGAACTTACTTAATCTCCTCAGAACAGCTGCTTTAGCACAAGCCTTTTTTGTTTGTTCTGCAATATGGACATTGAACTTCAGCTTTCTGTCCAGGGTAACGGATAACACCAAGTATCTATAAAGAATCAGCCAATTCGACCTCAAAATTGTCGAATTTAAAATTGAAATCGTACCTTTACGAAAGCCTGGAGGATTGGCTGATAGTATGGGATTAAATACACCATAAATCTGATCGTAGATTACTTTCTCGTATATCCTAGACACAGCAGTTAAACACTGACACCGGACGATAATTGCTTTTGATCACCTCATCATCTTTCTTATGCACCGGCCCTACGTTATACTGCTACGCCAAACAATAGGATTTATCATTTTTGATAATGGCTCGGCAATCACATTAGCTGATAAACGTAGCAATCGCCTGGAGATATTTATATCACAACCAAGGAATTTTCTTGGGTTTAAATCGTAGAATATATAGCCTTAATATATATTATTTTTCACCCTGCTCGGTTTCCTTTGTTCTTGTCGGGGAATATATTCAATATTCCCCTCTAATCAATTTCCGTTTAATAATCCCCTCTAATATTCACCTGCAATTAATAATCCCCTCTAATATTCACCTGCACAAAAAATGAAAAAAAAACAACATCACGAAGGCAAAATGGCATTGAGAATTATTTCTTTTCTGACTCATTAACGCGACTCGCAGTGTGAAAAATAAGTACGTTATTTTGAGGCACCTCGGGGATATGTGTTTATTCACCTCGGCGCTGCGCGCCTCGGTGAATAAATCACATATCCCCTCGTTGCCTCAAAATAACCTATACTTAGTATAATTACATAGGTGATTATCGAAAATTCTCCACGCTGATTGGTTGCCGTTGAGGTGATTATTATGCGATAATAACCTAAGTGATTTTCAAAATGGCGGCCAAAGCCGTTTTATCAATTAAATGACGAAGAAATGTGTATTTCTAATTCTTTTCCAGATAATCACGTATCAAATTATACTAAAACAATTATTCACCTCAGGCTCCGTGATTATCGTGAATAAAAACCTCGACTTCGTCTCGGTTTTTATTCACCGATAATCACCTCGCCTTCGGCGAATAATTGTTAAATAATCAACTGCGACGGGAACAAATTGAATTCCGGTTGTAATGCATGCCTCTCAACAATAAGTTTAATACTTGGGTGGTCAGTAAAGTCATCGTCATCGATTTCTAAGCTATCACCATCACTCACAGCCATATCACAGAAATATTTGTTAAATTATTCGGCCACTTCCAAAAAGCCTTCATGCCTTTCAGTCTATTTTGATTAATTGTATGAATTTGGTTTCAATATTTTGAGAGGAAAGCATTCCTCAAAATGCTTACTGTACTTTATTGCAAAAGCGTTGTAAAAATCATCCGGGTCCTGACGAATTGCAATTAGAACACTTTGTGAATGAATGCCAGGGTTCGGAATTTTAACGAGTTTTCCTCTGTAAAGTGTGCCATTACTGTACAGTATATTGCGGTTGCCATGGAGAATTTTAATAAAACACGAAACAACAAACACTCCAAAAAATTGTAAACATAAATAGTTGGCTTTTGAAAATACGTGGCATATTTCTGAAGATGACTTAAATTAATAGTCGAAACGTAAAGAATGAAAATGTTTACAATTTTCGGAGTGTTTGTTGTTTTCTGTTTTGTCCCTGAAATCCCGCGATATTTTTTGAGATCAGTGGTGATCACTGATCGGTCGTCAAGCCTGAACTAATCGCCACGCTTTATATTTTTCCAAATGAACTGTAACTAAAATCAACATGTTTTTGTAGTTGACTTTATACCAGTTTATACCAATATATTGTTTTGAAAATATCAAATAGGAACTAAAATATAGGAACTTTTTCGTGCCTTTGACGTCCTGTTCGGCTCTACACACATCCTTTTCAACATCTTTCGTGCATAAGGGCATGTCTATTACAATAGTAATTTCATTGCAATCTGGTAATTTACAAGTTTAATTTGCATGGTCCAACAGTCAGTAATTTAAATGCTAATTAAAGTGCGAATAATTATAATAAACGGCTTTGGTATAGAATTACACAAAGAATGAATAGACACAGCGAAGCCAAAGCTGCTTGCATGGTCAAATTTATATACATTGAACTTTAAGGACTAAAGTACAAAGTGAAAGCACAATATAGCGTAAGGTAAGGCAACTATGTGTATTATTTATTTCACAGGATTATAGTACTTGGCATTCACGATGCCTGTGGCGCTAACTCTGCCCAGTCAACCAGAATGTTCGTATGACTATGAAGTCATAAATCAAACGGTTTCGTGCTCCCTGCAAAGTCAAACACATCGAAGCACAACTCACAAGCGTACATAGCTTAACAACGACAGTATACTGTATCCATGATAGTATATATATTGTTTTTGCAGGTATAAACAGCTTAAGTATACCCATGAACATTTAGGCCGCGTCAGGTTGTCTGGTTCATATATTGATGTACTGAATCAAACAAAGTCGCTAACTCACAGTCACATGCTTCTTTAATCGTGGTTGAATTGTAAAACTCCTTGCGACTCTGATCAAATGTTTTGGACCAAACGAGTCCAACATCGTCCAAACTTGTTGGTCGCATATTAATGTTGGATGAAAGTTTTAAACAAAGTCAAACCCGCGGGAACCAACAACAGGTTTTGAGGCTTATTGTTTGGCAGGGGATGTTTTTGCGTACAAGTGCAGCCATAACAAATATAAAGCTATGAATGCCCCCTCTCCTCTTACGCTACCTAGTTTCTATGAGTATTAGTTGGTCCAGTGTTAATTGTACTATGTACGTAACGAAACGGAAAAACCTGCAGGAACAGTACTCCTGCTGTCAGTTGGGCTCAAACAGGAAACAATTCTCTCAATCAGAGAAGAAAATATCTAATCAGACAACTGCACATATATTAATGTTCTAATCGAACCCGATTACAGCAGAGGTGAAAAGCCACATGACTGAATACATTTTATTGCAAGTTGCAGAAAAAATGTAATCCTCGTATGAAAATGTGGCTTTAGCGAGCAACTATTGATTTTTTTTACTTCAAACATTAGTGTATAGCATTTCTTGTTTCTACGGGTCTTCAGATTTTGTCCCTGAAATCCCACCATATTGTTGAGATAATGCAGTGGTGATTAGTCGTCAAGCCATGAACTAATCGCCACGTTTTATAGTTTTCTAAATAACTGTAACAAAATCAACATGTTTTTGTAGTTGACCGGCTTTTTAAAAAAATTAATCTTGTTTTATACCTTTATTGAGTTTTTCGATATTAGGCATAGTTTTCTGAATGGCATATATTTAGTAATCTTAAATTATGAGTTAGAACAAGAAGGAGCAACTTGTCATATACAGCCAATTCAAAAAAGGTTGTCTTTCAAAAATCTTAAAACTTAAGGCCCTGTCACACTATTGCGTATTAGAGAAACGTATGAGAAGCGTATGAAAATTAATGAAATAATTTTCATACGCACAAAAATCCTTTGAAATGCCAGCGTATGAGTACCGCGTACATCTGGCGTTCCTCTTCTATATTTAGACTCTTAAACTCGGAAAATTTGCTTTGCAACAATGCTTGAGTATAAAATTAATGATGAACATTTCCGATACACGGTTACTTGGTTCATTAAGCTGATGTAGTATCAAGCTCCAAATAAGCAATACCCATCATACATTGCGTGCTCAATGTTTTAGGCTTTTAAAATTCTTGAAGGACAAGCATTTTTTGAATTAGCTGTATACATCACATATAATTGACTCCCAACATTCTTTAATTCCATCAGTCTAATTATATTACCTGCTAAATGCGGTCCAAATCACGTGGGATATATGTTGGATGTACACATATGGATTCTTACAGTTTTTTTTAATAACTTGGCTTTCGACAATTTGCTGGTTATATTCTACCAGCAAGATTTAAGTACGCAGAAAGCAAGAGTTCCGCATATACCGATACGTGGTACTTGATTGAAAATACCAGACCGTAATATTATATACATGTACCTCAAGTACGTACATTATCCGAGTTAACCTGACAAAACCTGTTTGTATAACTTTGTGATGACCCGCTCAGCTAAGTTGGTACCACGTCCTGAAGCCAATGATTTCTAAATATTATTACATGCTGTGTTTTAGATACAAGATGGACGATTCGACTAATGGTTTACATGAGAATGGTGATGTTATTTCACATAACGAAGACGTAGTGAACGCAAACGAAATGCAAAATATTGAAGAAAATAAAGAGGAAGAATGTAAAATAGATCCAGGTAAGCGAGTCTATGAGATTTCAACCAAACTTTAGCAGAATAAAGGCTTGGTAAAAACATGATTAAATTCCTATTGCAAAAGTCTGGAAATCCTTTATAATAATCCTATAGGAATTCCTTATACCAATCTTATAGGAATGTTCTTAAATCGAAACTTTTGTTGATAAACTTTGAGTTTGAAATAAAGTGATTTCAAATTCCCGCAAGCAATAAAAATAATTAATATATGCATATTATTGACAAATAATATATGCATATTATTGACAGCTTGGATCTGCATGAAACTTATTTAAAATGTGCTTGATACCATTATGTCTGAGCTGCCGTACATATTTGGAAGGATTTCAACGAGATTGGCGATAAACAGCGGAGTAAAGTGGAGAATTTGGCCAAATACGTCCATTTCTTGCCCTGTTCTTGTTGTTGTTCCTATTCTTGTTGTTGTTTTTGTTACATACGCCCTGTTTTTGCCTATGCAAGTCAGGTATGGTCGCCCCAGTCCATAGGTCTCATCCAACGAACAGAACGTATCCAGAGAAGAGCTTCCAAGTTCATACTGAATCTTCCCTTCATGTGCAGCGAGTCTTACCGTGATAGGTTGATCACTTTAGAACTGATGCCGTTATCATACTGGCATGAGTACATGGATCTTGTGTTATTCTATAAAGCAATAAATGATTGTCATATCTGAAGATGTTCTCCCTAAACCGATAATCCCCACGAGAGTAACTAGATCTTCCAGTGCCAGTGAGTTATCCTCCCCCCCCCCCAAAAATGCAGAACTAGGACTTTCCAGCGATCGTATACAGTATTACCCGCGTCACGAGGGTATGGAATTGTCTTCCAACAAACTTAAGACAACCAAATTTAACTTCGGTACATTTAAGAGTTTATTACGACAATATTATTCGAAAGCTGTGCACAGTGGTTTTGATGCAGACGACCCAAGAACACGGAGATCTATATGTTTAAAAATTGTAACTCTTGTCGAAGTTTGACCAATGTTATCAACTGTTGTTTTTAGATATTTGTATGTAACCTTTATGTTAAAAGGGCCCGCTGTAATTGGTTTTAACTGTTGTGGTGTCCCCGCCATTCGTCACTTGTATATATACAAAAACTATAGTTTTTTTTGTATTGTATGCATGTCATTCATGTAATTTTTACCTGGCAAAGTTAAATAAATAAAAAATAAATAAAGCATTAACTATTTTACAGCAAAGCAGTGATAATATACTTAAATAAGTACCAATTATGTTTCTATGAAAAAGATTTAGGAAAAAAGGTAATGTAGGTCCACTGCTGTTTATCTGAATTTGTTGGTCACAAATTGACGTTTGACTATGAGTATTGCATGGTCATTTTCTTGTGAAATATCAGTGCTAAGCATTTCACACTTACCAATGACCACCCTTAAAAGCACCATATCTGAACCATATAAGCACCTCAGAAAGCCAAAGCTTTTATGGTTTGGTAGATAGCACTATGGCGAGAGCGTCGTTTTTGGTGTGGTCAGCTTCGGACGTTTCGCCCCGGATTGGGGTTCGGGCAGCGTTACCATGTCGACCGCCATGGTCAACTTGCCCTAAAACAGTTGAAATTATCTGTCCTAAATGAAACGCATACAAACTCATATACAGGTCCTAGACTAGTAGTATATTTGCAACAAATGTTTGTGATTTTGCTGTCGTCAGGGCAGTCGTCAATATATAATGCAAATTTTAAATTCGACCAATCAGTGTTCCCTATTCACGACAGTCCGCTATATTTTGAGATCATTGAGGGTGACCACGCACTCTCGGTGAACCATAGCTATGTGCCCGCGATTATTGATGAAATAACCATAGCTATGTGCCAGCGATTATTGTAAATAGCCGGGCGGAATTAATACCCTCGCCCCGGGATTACGCCTGGAACAAGGCCCTGCGCCGTTGGCTCGGGAATAAATACAAAAATATACAGAAAATACAGATAGGCTGGACAGAATATACATCCGGTAATTTGCTTCATTTTAAAGGGATTTAAAACTACCAATTTATTGGTTGTTTTAACCAATTTGCTTCTATATTGCATGATGTAATTTTCTATGACTTCTGTGTGACGCACTTTGAACTGTAACTTTAACATCTTTTGACTTTAATAGATTCGGAAAAACCTGGCAGTTCTGCAGAACCGAAACGTATTGTGGAAGAGCCAGGTATGGCAACATAAATATTGTTAAAACGACAAACAAGCAAGGGTTAGTTGACTACAAAATTTTTGTAGTTCGTTATTATAACTACAACTACTTCGAAAATGTATAGTCACCTACAACTACTGCTACTTTTGAACAAAGGTAGTTCGCTACTGACTACTGTTACTGCTTAAAAAATGTAGCGAACTATTTCGCTACGCTATGTTTTTAGTTTTACTGTATTTGGAGCGCCTACTAACTCAGGCTGAATTGTAACCTATTGTATAACAAATCGACTTACGAGTAGCAACAGTAAACACAAACCAAAATTGTTGTAAGCACTACGGTGTTCAAGAGTGCAAATTGACTATTGAGTATTGAATTTAAGCAAACCGTGTCTCAATACTATGCTATTCTATCAAGTTGCTAACAATTTAAAAAATTAGCGAATAGCGATTTGCTGTTTGAAAAGTAGTCAACTACTTGGCAACTTTTAGGCAAAATGTAGTTCGCTATAAATACAGCTACTGTACTGTTTTAAAAAAGTAGTAAAAAACTACTGGCTACTTGAAAATTGTAGTTCGCTACAGTAGCGAACTACAACTACTTCGCTACTACCCACCCTTGCAAACAAGTCTTTCAGCAATATAAAGTCTGACAATAAACGTTATTTATCAATCGCAATCGGGGCCTCGTATTCTAGGAAACCGGAATAAACGCGGGAAAATAGACAAAATGTTAAATATTTAACAATTATTCGCCGAAAGCGAAGTGATTATAATGAAAACAAAATATCTAAATATCAGTTTAATAAAAATTCAAAAAATTTTCGGCTACAGTTTTAGTGGTGCAGTATTTCTTGCGTACACGCTTTCAAAATGGCTTCCTGTGTGACTTTATTGCTTTATTACAAAGTTGTTTTTCTCGATTTCTGCTCAGAAGATGAACACAATGTTGGAACGACTTTTTCACCAGACTTAGAATTAAAAAATAGTTTCTGTTTAGCGTTAATTTGTTCAGGAAATTATTGAGAAAATTAGTAAAATGGAACTGTAAACCTATTGCTCGACTCCCTCGAAATAAAGTTTTATACACTTTTTACTTTACAAGTTTCGAAAACACGATACATCGAAAATAATACAGCACAATGAAAACATGACATATCAAAATAAATAGTATCGTACGAATGAGATGTCTACAGAATAGGAAACAAAATGGTTTTAAAAGAATATCACGGCAAGGTTTTCATCAACAGTCGGGATAGTTTTTGCTATTTGATTGAAGTGAATGTTTCGGAGTTTTAAGTAAGTTTTAAATTGTCCATCAATATATTTGACACAGTAAAATAATAAAGAATTCCTACCTTTCAAGTTAAATACAAAATTTTGTGCTTCTTTCGTTTTTTTTTAATATTTCGTCGATTTTGAAACCAAACTTGCCGAATAGTTCTTTTTCAAAAACATTATTTACTAGTCAGCTGGTAAATAATGCGTCACTGATACTAGTCAACTAGCCAATCAGAACGAGCGAAAGCTAATTTGATATGCAAAATTGATACTAAAAGTTGATAACTAGAAATGCATGCATGCAGTATCCCCCTCGCCTATATTTTCCAAACATTGATTTAACATGCATGAAGTATTCATAATTGGCCAACACTGAACGCAGGCTCGCGTTGTGACGTCATTTGCTGCCATGACAAAACGATATTTTTAAATTTTAATTTTTTTATATTATTTGTACAAAACAGCAAAATAATTTTAAAAGACTATTACTTTTAACGATAAACTGTTTTTACTTAATAAAACCACAGAGTAGATACTGTGCACTCTTTGATAAAACAAAATAAGTTCAAATTGTTGAGTAATTTCATTTAGATCTTCAAATTAATTTGTTCTCCTTTACATTTTACCTTTTTTAAGCTGCATGCAAGAAAACTTCCATTATATTTCACGATTTCTCATAGACCTAGTAACTCAATTCTTCTCATTTCTTCAAATAAAAATTTCTTCAAAGCTCATTGTGTGAAACGTGACTTTCCAAATATTTGTTTTTGAAATTCAAAATCTTGCTTATTCCACTCCTGGCAAACAGCTATATTTTTTAGAGCACCCCTGATGCCTCCGCGATTATTGAACCACTGCTCGAATGGGTCGAAATAAAGTTTTTTTTGAATTTTGTATCGGACGAACCGGTGTCTCAAGGAGTACTGATTTCGTAATAATTACACTCTTTTGTCCTACCAACGGAAGATTTTAAAAATTAACTTCTACCTCACACATTTTTGAGGCAAACTCATATCAGTTTATCACAAATTTGCCAGAAACTAATTACGAATAAATTAAATATACATTTTGTTATTGATGTAAATGGGAACGCAACCTGGTAACACGACGCTATTATGACGTATGTTAACAAGACTGAGTTATGTGACAGGTGGGGTAACCATGCATGTAACGCATCTTATGTGACGTATGGTAAGGCGACTTGGTAACGCGACGCTATTGTGACATCATTGGCGGCATCCCTTTGGTCTCCAGACGAGGGCCTTCCGCCGCCAGAGTCGATGCTATCTGAACAAGGTGATGTCATAAATTTCGCAAGCTCATTATAAAATCCCCCAGAGTGGGGTCTATACATTGAACTATAAGTAAACTGGAAGGCTAACTCAAGGGGGGGGGGGAATCGAAGCCAGTGCATTTTAGTTTTTCTGAGTTATGAGCAGAAACACTGAACGTTGGGCTATATATCAAATTGAGGCTATTGGAAAACGCTATTTGGTGTAGAAACAAACAAACATAATTACCGATAATTTGCCGTTTTGCAGTTGTTTTTGTATTTTTTAAATATTTTTCTTTTCGCTGAAATCTTGACATTTCCACACCGAATAGCAATTTTCAATCGCTTCAATTTGATATATAGCTCGACGTTTGAGGTCAAGTATTTCTGCTCATAACTCAGAAAAACTATTTTGGCTTCATCAAATCATAGGCCTTCATCATAGCAGTTAGCCTTCCAGTTTATTTATAGTTCAATGGGTCTATATTACTAGTAGTATATGTTCGATTTTATACGTACGGAAGTAGGCAAATGTTAAATATATCTGCTACTTCTCCCAACATAATTATATTTATATATTTGTTACGATTTAAATTGTGCCAAACACCCTTGAAACACTAGAAACTTGTTAATTATAAAATTTGTTCACTAATTTGTTTCTATATTTTATTTGATTTTATCCCCTACGCATAACACATTTGTAATGTAACTGTAACAACAACTGTAACTGAAACTAGTATATTTTGTGTTCAATGTGTAGACCACAGTAAGACTATTTTTAAATATGGTTATTACATTCACAAACTGTAACTGTAACTTTAACATCTTTTGACTTTATTATCTTTTTACTTTAATAGTATTGCAACGTGCAGAAGCACCAATAGTAGGTATGGCAACATAAATATTGTTAAAACGACAATAAGTCGCACCAGTTTATTTCAAAACGGAGAGCTTTCATATTACAAGAATTACAGTTCAACTGTCTAACACATAAAATAGGGCGTCGTATATAAATGCCGAAAAAACTGACTAGGTCAACGGTACAGATACATTATATTATTAAAGATCATTATATTGCAATGTCCATAATGTGGAGGCGCCTCAACGATCCTCCATTCATTAAAATTTTTTGAAGAATTTAAAAATTCGTTAGGCCGAGTCATTTAACGAATGTTAATTGAATAATGGGACCATTTGCATTACAGACTAAATTTTGATCTAAACAAATCTAGACAAAAATTTCATCACAGCTTGAAAGAGCATCACAAAATTAGTATAATATTCCAAGTTTCGTTGCGAAATGTTGCAAAATGCGGATAATATAGCCTTGCGAAGTTTGCCGGTTTTCAGTCATTTTGCATTACGCGGGAGAAATTGACAGCCCAATACCCTTTGAGCAATTTGGGGCTGTCAATTTCCCGTTTGTAATAAAATTACTGAAAAACGGCAAACTTCGCAAAGCTATATATCATCCGCATTTTACAACATTTGGCAAAGAAACTTTGGAAAATTACTAATTTTGTAATGCTCTTTCAAGATGTGATGAAATTTTTGTCTAGACTTGTTGAGATCAAAATGTAGTCTATAATGCAAATGGTCCATTGAATACAGTAAAAACCCGCGTATAAAGTGATAACAATGGATTAAAAACTGTGCACCCACCTGAGATTTACGCAAATTTTGGGAAACTAAGCAAAGGGTTTCGTCTGGCTGGTTTCATCACAGACACACTTCTTATCCCTTTGGTATTATATCACTATGACATGATAGGATGATAGATGAATCACTTTCATGCTACGATCGATATTTTTGTAAAATACTGACAAAGAAGCAAAACGTAACGAAGCATGGTCCCTTACAAGCTAGATTTTCGAGCGACTAATATGAGAATTCTAATTTGTTTTTATAAAGCTTGCCCGTTATTTGGTGTTGTAGTAGCAAGAACGGGGATGAGACGAATTGTTAGCAATAAAAGCTTTTCTCAAAGCGACATGGAAGATGAAGGTGAGTCAATAATTAGAGAGTTTAAGTTCGACCATACTAACAACAGGTCATGCGTATGCGCTTGTGGGAATTGTAAGATAAACTCATATAAATCAGGTATTTTATATTTTTTTCGATTAACACGTAAATTATGTGTTTATTAGCATTGCGTGAATCATATTTGAGTCGGAATTGTAGCTCAGCTGCCGTTTAGTATACCGCACATTTTCAGGGACAATTAGTGTGTTCTGTCCTTTATCTGTCGTGATAACTTAATTAATGCTTTGAAATTCCACTACAAAAACTATGAGAACGGAAGTCGAACTTAAACTCTCTATACTATAAGAATGAAGATTACCGAAATAATCTGAAAAACCACTACATTTGATTTTAACTGATATTGGGAGGGGGGCTTCCTTCCTGGGATAGGCGCTATACTACTAACAGCGAGAAAGATCTCACTTTCGGGTGGTAAACACATGTCAATTGACATACTGCAGAATATATTTGCCTTCCCGCCCTGCCCATTTACCACATTTGATATATTTTTCCCTCACGCGATTTTGATTTCGACTGTTTTAAACAAAGGGTAGCCAACGCAAATCTAGGCGCAATTGTACTCTTAGAAATATATATTTTATTTCTTTTTTCTACGCGAGGTAGGGAATCGTTTACAATCAATCTCTAGTAACTATCAGTTCTTAGTGTTCGTCTTCTTGCAGTAGTTTTTCAAGAGTTCACTTCAGCCTTCAACTGGCTTTCACTGTTCGTGATCTGTTCGTTAATTTCTTCGTTTTGTCTTGTTTCGTTTGAGCTTTCTACAACTTTTCATACATAATTTTTACTTCGTTGAGTCCACTGACGAATTTGGGTCGTACACGCCCTTTTATACTAACGGTTGAGGGATCTTTCTACACGTGATGTAGCAAGTGGTGTGATTTGTATCCAGCCAATCAACGTTGAAGTTTAAAAGTGTGGGTTGGCGTTGCTAGCTCGTTCCAGCTCTCACATTCTGTTTATTTAAGGCGTTGTCGCACTGGTCGAGTTGGTTCGCTGTTCAATCGATCATCATTAAAACATGTTCACAACTTAAAATACTCATCAAAATATCATAGTAAAAACTTCAAACTATACCTATGTGAACCTTACTTTACCTACTAAACTAAATTTACTTACAATTTTATTGAACCAAGATTTTGATGACGTAATGTTATTCTTACTCAACCGCGCGAAATATACCGAAGAATGATTGACAGAAAGGCCCTAAGCATGCACATTTTCATGTCAGAGAAGAACCAGCCTTGGACTTTGAATTATGTAAACACAACAGCCCACCATGCAAGGCTATCGTCCAACTTTGACAGTTTGACAAATCATTTATCTTGCCTAATGGACAGATAATTGACACTTTTACACAAGTCCGAAATGATATATACTTTATCTGCGTTTTACAGCAAAAATGCTCATTATCTCTCCACTTGACGTAACTAGTATCTATAATTACCTAGGGTGCAAATTGAACTATTTTTATACTATTTAGATATACTTTCGTAACAGTACAATACAAAGAACAACTATGGGGTTCGGCCGTCCGGAGGCATGGTCTGCGAAACGCAATTTTATGCATAGTATTACATACGTTTTATGATGATCTTAAAGCCAAATATTTGGTATAGATGCATTAATGTCCTCACCGTTTAATAAAATTAATATAAATATATATATATATATATATATATATATATATATATATATATATATATATATATATATATATAAAATAAGTGCAACGACTCAACAAATTCCACTAGGCATCTTTATTACTATTAGTTTCGTACCACAAGATGTGGCACTCATCAGATAAATTAGCCTTATGACTACAGCAAAAAAACCTACAGTATTTATGTACAAGTGGATGAAAGCTTTAAATTAATCCTATTTACAAAGCACGCAAAGCAATTATTTTGTTACTTGATAAAATTGACAGGACGCGGAAGTATTAACAACACATCAGCATAACGCCAAGCTATTAAGATTGCGCGGTATATTTAAAACAAAAATATGTCTGTCTCGAGTGCATGCCCTTTAAATGTTAGCTAAAAGAAATTTTTTCGCATGTCTGCATGAAGACACTAATTCATTACCTAGTTCAGGTTTACATATAATAAAGTATTTTTCCCACAGGCAGAGATTACATCTATTAGAAGCAGGGCTGTAGGGTTTGGCCCGTTTCAAGGTTTGCCATTTAATATGAAATTCAATTTCTTTGCGCTTTAACTGCCAGACATATTCGCTAAGTTCAGTAGAGTTCCTTTTCTCGTACAAAGAAAATGAGGTTTTGTGGTTGTAATATCTAGTTTTAAAAGCGTTTTCAGTCAGACCAACGTATGTTTGAGGTGGACTATTGTCGTTGGTAGAAACTGTAGCTTGATATACAATAGATTCGACCAAACACTTTTTGGACATTGGGCACTCCTCTTTCTTTCTACAGTTACATGTGCTTTCTTCACTCGTTGTGGCGGTTTGTGACAGTTTGGTCTTGTTGTGTCCGTCGATGGTTTGTTTGATATTAGGCATGCAACTGTAGCTTATTTTAACAGTGTTG